ATTGGTTTATTTTTAAAAAATTTGATCTTTTATTTGTTTATTGTCCTTTATTTTCTTAATTCTTTAGGTTTTAATTTAAAAGTGAATAAAAAATTTAAGATTTTTGGTAAAAAAAGATACAAAGAAAGAATTAAAAATATAAAAATATAAAAAATATATATGAAATATGAAATATGAAATTTAACCAAAATATGGGATAAAAAGAGAGTTGACTTAAAAGCATGCTTTAAACTTATTATCTTTAGAAGTTTTCTTTTCCATTTAAAATCTTCATCTTATGAATTTATTATAATTTGCATCATGAGTCAAAAAAAAAATTTTTGCCAACATTGTCATGTGAGTCAATTAGTCAATATGTTCTAAAAAATATTCGAATGTATGCATATTTTAAAATTTTAAAATATATATGTTAAATTAACTTTGTGATTATGAAGTATTCAGTTGTAATTATAAAATGAACAAAATAACTTTTAATCATTAAAAAGTAACTACTAAATTAATATCTAATAAATTATTGCATCTATATATTTATTTATGAAGTATATTTTGATTATTCAATTTACATATATTAAAATAAAAATTAAATATTCATAAATAAAGAAAAAAGTTTTGAAGAACGAGACACATTCTAATATTTAAAAAAATACTAAATTTAAAAAAAATGAAGTCAATTGTATATTAGCTTAAATGACATATATGCTAGTCAAATTCTTGAAATTGTGGTTTTGAGAGGATTTAAGCGTGTAATGTCTTCCTTAGACCTTAAATTAAGTAGATAAAAATTAAAGAATTAAGAATAAATTAAATTTTAAAAAAATAAAAAAATGAATTGTTAAAATTAAATTCAAGTTTGTTTGATTTCTACAAATCAAAATACTATAAATTAATCTAATATATTTTTCAAAATCAAATGAGTGTCTAATGTAAGGTTTCACTTAAAATCAAATAAAAAATATAGTAAAAAAGAGTTAAAAATTGTTGTTGAGGGAAAAGGAACCTAGACTTCTTTTTCTTTCTATCTTGCAATGAAGTAGTAGTAGTATTAATTGTTTGACCTAAATTTCAATACTACAAATTAAGGATTTTTTCTTTCATATTTTTCATGTTTTATATTTTTAATATTAGTAAAAGTTAAAGGATAACTTTAACTTAACTTATTGTTAATATTTTCTGTTACAATATTGTTTACATGAACAATATAAATGGGACTAATGATGTTGCATGCTTACTCACTTTGAAAATTGCTTTTGTTTTTTTTTTTTATTTATTCTTTTTTCCATTTTTAATGAAATAGAAAACAAGATACAAAGGAGTTTTTTTTTTTAAGAAAATAGCAATTCCATTAAAGGTAAATAAAGAAACTATCCAAAAATAGAAAATTTCAATAGATTAATAAGTCATGCATTATGAAAAGTAGGCAACAAGAAATAGAAGTATGGCAAAATTCATGTTCCAAAGTTCTAAATTAGTTACTTTTTTCCATAGAGAAATAAACAACTCAATTATTATTGAGATGAACTAAAAGCTAATTTTTTTAAATTTAAAATGGCTAACATTATAAATGATTCTTAAACTATAATGATATACTTAATGTAGTATTTAAATTTTAAAATTTTTAATATAAACTTGAATTATGAATCTAACTAGTCGCATTTGAGGTGAATATCACTTTAATTAATAAATTTATAATTCATATATATTATATTAAATGTCTTTAATATTTAATATCACGTTAAACATTTTATTATAATTTAATAACCATTCATAACATTAATCCTTTTTAAAAATATATAAATTCAAACTCTTTAAATAAAAAAATATATTTAACTATGAATTCAAAAACTTTTTAAATAAAAAAATATATTTACACTGCACTTATCATTAAATCAAATACATTTATCTTTAAATTTAATATTTAATTATAATCACCTTTAATTAGTGGCATCCAACAAATTAATTTTAAATTTTAGCACTTATAATAAATTTTTTTGATTAAAAAAAAAAACTTGTTGTTAAGAAGTTGCTAACATGAAAATAAAAATTCATAATAGAAAAACAAAAGTTTGTTTTGTAAGATAAAATATAAATGGTTTAAAATATAAATGGTATCTAAAATTAACGTCATTGGTATTTGAAGTTCAATTTGTAATAATAATTTTGACCCCTTATTTTTTTAAGTAAATTTATTTTTGCCTTTTTCTAAAGGATTCCATAAAGACGACCTAGCTCTAATTTTGAATAACTGCCATAGTCATTTTAAACAAAAGGGGAATTCTAAATGCACCCATGTTTTTGCTTTATACACTTTACCTTTTTTTAAAGATTTTTGTAAATAAAATTACTAAAATACCCATCTCACAAATTTGATAACTGTTAGAAATTTATTTTTGCAAAATTATAATACATTTTGAAAATGCATTTCGGAGAATTCATGACAACATTTTCAGGGGATTGAAATTTTATGAAAAATTACAAAAAAGAGAATTTTGTTAAAATTATTTATAATAATGAAAAAAGTTATTATTAAAAAATCATAACTTTTAAAATTAATAAATAATTACTTTTACTATTTTCATCTTAAAGAGAGAATAATATCTTATGAGACTTTAATTAAATTAAAGATAAAATAGCAAATATATACTTTTTAAATTTAAAATATATCATTTTAATAAATATTTTTTATTGATTATTAAAATTTTACAATAGTTTTAATTAAATTGAACTCCTTAAAGAAATCACAATCTACTTACAATGATAGATTTCTCTAATTAACATATTATATTTTGACATAATTATATAGTATTTAATAGTATTACTTATACTTCCTCTTCATTCTTAAGCATACAATGTTGGTCAAAAAAATTTTTAACTTTGAGTTAGTTTTAATTCTTCTAACACCCTTTCTATCGGTTCTCAAATTCATATGAGGCTAAGAACATGGAATGATGATTTTATAGCATTTTGATAAAATTGAATAGTATTCAACAATATTGCTTATACAGTTTTTAAGAATTTCAGCATTTATATGTTGATCAAATATGATAATTCTTTTATCACCCTTTGCAAAATCAAGAAATAAAATATTTAGTTAGAATCTCATAAGATTTTATTTTTTTCTAAAATTAAAATAATAAAAGTAATTTTTTATTAATTTTAAAATTTATAATTTTTTAATAATAATTTTTATTATACTAATTTATAAATAACTTTAATAAAAAAAGTTTTGTAATTTTTTTTATAAATTTTCACTTTTTCACTTTTGAAAATGCATTTTTGAGAAGCTAAACTTCTTGGAAATGTTAGATATTCGAAAACTTGTAAAAAGGTATTAAAATAATTTTATTTATAAAAAATTTTGAAAAAAAAAAGTGGAATGTATTTAGCAAAAGAGGAATTCTAAATGCATCTCATTTAATGCTATATACACCCTACTTCTATATACATCTCAAATTTAAAATTCATTTTTCTATTTCTACTAAATACACTATACCCTAACTTTTCTATTTTTCATTCACACCTTTTCTCTTTTCTTCTCTCTTTATTTCCTAAAATTGCTTGTCTCATAAATAAATATCCAAGAAGCTTTGAAATTTCTCGAAAATATATATCCGATAAGTTTTAAGAATTCTCAGATATTCGATAAGCTTTAAGAATTTTTGGATATTCATTTCTGATTGAAGCTTTTCAAATATTCATTTTGAAAAGCTTCATATCTTCTATATCCAAGAAGCTCAATTTCACTTTTAATCAAAAACCTTAATCATGCACTTATGAACATATTTATTTAATTATGTGTGCGAATGAAATTGAAATTAATATTCTCAATATGCATTGAATAAACTAAAATTGTTTTCTTGGTTTTCTGGGCTCAAGACAAAAATATTTTTATTCCATGCATACTTGAGAACTTGGTTTCATCCATTTGCATTATGATCAAATAAGAATGGGTACATCAATGACTTGTGTGTGCATGCATACTAGTCTGAGCTTAAACATCTTATAAAACATTGTCATTGACAATGCCATCGATAGATTGACAGATCTGATAGTATCTAATTTTTCGGCTATTAGTCCTTACTGTCGAATTTACCAGTCTATTGATGATATTTTTTAATAATTCAAAGATTAAAGATTTCGATTTTTTTATTATCAAAAGTTTATAATTAAATATATATTTTAAAAAATTTATGTATTCTTGAAAATGAATTTTCAAAAATACATAATGACTATGGAAATTCATTTTGAGAAAGTAATATAAGTCTCAAAAATGAATTTTTGAAAGATGACTTTTGTTCTCAATAATCTATTTTTGAGAATTATGTTGCTTTCTCAAAAATAAATTTTTAAGAACACATTATAATATTTAAAAACTTATATTCAAGAAATATGATATGATTTTTAGGTGTATAATATTAAGGATATTTTTATTATTTACTAAAGATTCAAATTGACATTTGATATTAGAATATTTTTGAAAAAAATTTTGAAGTGTATAAAAAAAATTTGGTGATCTATTTAAAAAGCCTCCTAGAAAAAAGGGGTGCATTTAGAAAAAGAAAAATCTTAGAACAAAATGACCAAAGTACCCATTTGAGAGAAAAAAAGATGAGAGAGAAGGCCGCCCTCGGAACCAACACGTGCTCTTTCAACAGGTGATCCTGAACTCTTAATTAATTAAATTAATATAAAATTATTAGAGCCTTTTTAGAAAGAAAAAAAGGAAAAAAAGAAAAAGAGTTGTGAGCGGGCAGTCTCTGGGTTGTCGTCCTCCTATTCGGCGGAGTGTCTCTAGTAAAAATAAAGAAGGCGGAGAATCGAGAAAGCAAAGGCATCAATGCCAGCCCAGAAGCGGTCATTGTCACAGAATCTCGACGATGAAGAGTCCAGCCTTTATCACCAAAGCCACACCTAGCAATCTCGAGCCGAAGATGACCAACGCAAAGCTGAAGATAAGACAACGCAACTGGAAAAAGAACAATAGCCAGAGCCAGAGCAAGAAGAAGAACAACATCAGAAAAGAGGGCCCGATGACCACCAAAACCACCAAGTTCAATTCCAAGGCGACGACGAAGTTGACGATGAAGAAGGTGACATCCCTTTCTCTTTTTCACATATATATTTTCATATATAGATCGATGCATAGGTGTAACGTGTTTTGAAGTTGATTTCGATTGTTGGACTTCTTTTTTTTTCTCAGATTCTGATGGAAGCCAATCTTCTACTTCTCAAGAGAAACCCGAGTACTCTTTTCTCTCTCTCTCTCTCTCTGTCAATCATTTCTTTTCGTTAATAAGTTTTGAATCCAGTTTAGCTTCATAATTTGCTTTGGCTCTGCTTTTATGAGTTGGGTTTGCTGAGATTTTATTATTATTATTATTATTATTATTATTTAAACGAGCATTTTTTCTTCTTTTGGGTGGTTTTAGGTGTTGTAGAGAAAGGGATTTGCGTTTTATTTATTGGGTTTTATGTTATTCGCTAAATGGCATTGCGTTTTGTGATTTATTTCTTCGTCGTTTAATCGATTGCATTTTGCATGTCAACGATCTGTGTCCTTTCCATGCTTGTAACAACATAAAGCTGGAAATTTCTGAAATTTGTTTGTGTTATTTTTTTAATTCTGTTTACCAACTTGTAAAATACTAGCTCGAAAACGCCTCCTATCATATTCTTCTACCATCCAAAATGTGCATGATTTATCTTGTACAAATTCACTTTTATCTTTGGGTTCTTTTTTTTTTCCCTTCATTCATCGTGATTTTTGGAATTTCTTTAATATATGTGTTCAACTGGAGGTAATCTGATAAAACCTTAACGAGTCACTAGGCTAACTTTGCTAAACACTCGGTCAGAGTCATGTATCGATACTAGGGCGGTGCCTCCGTGCCTCATCTTTTTAATTTTTCTTACTTCAATTAGTATCAACTCAGTAAAATTCTACCAATTTTATTGATTTGGTGCTGATGGGTCTGAGCAAGAAAGAAAGAGTGCAGACAATCTAGTGGGGTTTAAAAAAGTGGCTTTTCATTGTCTATTCTAGCCATTGAGAGGAACCAATTGTTGGGAACTAACTATCATGGAGTCTGTTATAGTGGAAAAGAGTGTTGTCTCATTTACAAACCATAATATTTGGGCTATACTTTCAATAGAGGAACATGTGAGGGTTCTCATCCTGAGTAGTTTTTGGGCTTGCTTGTATTTCTTTCTTCCTAATCTGTCCAGATTTACAAAAAATATAACAGCTGTATTCTTCCCTTTATAGTCATTCTTAGAATATAATAGTAAAGTGTCAGTTGAAACTTTGTGATTTCCTTGCCCATCATGGCATATTTACTTATATGATTGCTTGAAAACATTTATATTACCCTTTTAAAGTAGTCAAACCCAGCCCGTGCAAAGTCATGTATTTACATTGATGACAGCAAGATATGTATCTCTCTACTGGCATGCTTGCTGTGATCTTCATGCATATGGACTGGGTTTTATATGTACCTTTTGTCTACAAATGACTTGATAGAAGTTCTTTTAACTTTTTATGCTTCTATTCCAGATTTGTCTTTGTAGAACTTCCAGAAATTCGTAAAGATGTTTTCAGTGTCCAATTTGTTTAGATAATATTTACTTCAATTTGCAATCATTTGATACTTTTGTCCTGGTATTTCTATTGAATGTTTGTGACTAGGAGTTGAAATATATGTATTACAGTGGGTGTGATATATTTTTATGAACAAATCATATTTGGTTATACATGCTATGTGGAGGTCAAACCCATCACCTTTTTCCAAGATTGAATCCCATTTGCATAAACCTTTATTTTGAGCGTATATTGTTGATTAAATTTGTCTTTGGAAAATCATATAAACCATTACAAGGACAAGGGGAGAATCAAGTGTCGTGTGTTTAGTGCACATATTACATTATTAATTAATAAATTTTACACTATTAATTAATAAATTATGTCTTATTTACCTGATATTTAAGTAGAACAGAGATGTTTCTTCCTTAAATGTTTAAGATTTATGTTGAATTTTACCAATTGCAATTTATAGTCATATTTTCTAATGGTGATACCTTCTTTAGTTGGTTTTTTTACAAATCAAATGATGTCTTCCTCTCTCTAGCTTGTGCTGAAGTCAAGATGAGGTTGTTTGTCTGATAGAAGATGAATTGTCAGAACAAAACAACTGTCTAATATGAGTGTGCTCTATAATGGAATATAAAGTATAATTGTACATAACTGACTTTCTAGACATAATTCTTTTAATTTAATTTCCAAATGGTGGATCCCACCTGTCCCTTTTCTTAGAATATCTTTGCTGAATACTCTATTGGGCATAATTTCTCATTTTGTTTTTCCTTGTGACTTCTGATTGAGTTGGAAAGTTATTTTCACTATTGTGCTTAATGGTATTAGAAGATTTAGTTTAAATTTAATGAGCTAATAAAAAAATTTTCACCCATGGGTGGGCAAGGACCCATAAATAATATAGGAAACCAAAGAGAAAGTTGTATATCTGGATGCTCCTCAAAAGATCTAAAGTTGAGAAGAGAGGAAAAAAAGATAAAGGAAAATTGCTGATTTAGGGGTGTCTGATTTTTCAGGTCGTTTTGCAATGGATTAGGAGAAAGGGGTTTTGATGTTATGTAAATCTAAATTTTATAACATTGTTTTTAGTGAAATAGGAGGAAGGGATTACTTAAGAAATGCAGATAAGTTAGATAATGTGAGCATATGTTATTAAAACACATCAATTAGGGGGCTTTACCGGACAAGTTAGATGTATCATGTCCATAAAACAGAAGTTAGTTAAATTTATATAAATATATAAGCATGTTTTCTCTGAAGGAAAAACCACAAAAGAGTAATATTATAGTATTTGTTTTAACAGATGTAACATGAACATGCTTATACTTTTTTTTTTTTTTTTAATGGAGACACATGCTGGATAAAAAAATCTCTATATCTGATTGCATCAGGGTATGCTTGTTGGTCTACTTTTACTCTTGCTGGTCTGTTGTCCGCAGATATGCTATTGCTTGAGGCTTTTATTAACAGTTATTGCTATTTGTATTAACAGATATTGCTTGAGGTTTTTATGGTGCATTGCATTTTGTTAGCTAGCTCTAGGATTTGATCAGAAGGAAGCTCTCGTACCTGTGCTCAATTGATCTTGTTAACTTGCTCAGTTTTGCCTATTATCCACAATTGGATGTAGATCTGGTAGAAGATACATTTTTTATTCTTTTCGGTGTGTACAGGAATCATAAAGAAAACAAGAACTGCAATGGAATGCCTGCACTGTTTTTGCAGGGAATGCGACTGGGGTATGTTATAAATGGATTGTTATTAGCCTTTGTTTGGGTTAATTTTGTATATGTCTGGAAAGTTTATGATTAAAATTGCTTACTTTATTCTAATTGTAGGAACAATGAGTGTCCTGCTTGCTGTACACATTGTGCTAGCCGACGTTCACGTTCTCTAAGAGACGATCCAAACTATGATGCCTTAATTACAGCCTTATATCCAGATATTGATAAGTATGAAGAGGAGGTATAAGTTCTTTTCTTTCTCTTCTTTCGGCCTGCTTAGTAGGTATTTTTTATTCATGTTGCTATCACAAAATTTCTTAGATCATGATCTTGCTAATCAAAACAAATGCTGGTTTTGTGCATTTGGTCTCAGGAATTGGCTTTTCATGAAGAGGAAAGGACTTGCAATAAGCTGGTCAGATATATGTAGATTTGTTACTACATGCATTTATTTCTCACTGATCTACTTGCATTCATGGTTATGGTATGATACGATGATACTATTAGCATAACTTTCACGTGTCCTTATCTATTTCCACTTAAGTAATATACCGAAGGATTCTTCTCTCCATGCTCTCTCTGCCCTCCCACCCCCCCTTTTTTTTTTGGGTTTTCCCTTTTATCCTTCCCCATTTGTATGCAGGTCCACATTTTTGTATAACCGAAGCATATTCTTTGCATGCATTGGATGTTCATCTCAAGCTTATTTCAGTGGATGAACAAGGTACGTCAAGTTTGCAGCAACCCTACCTTTGTTGTCAGCCCAGTCTGTCAGTCAAGCAGCTATGCAAAGTGAGATTTCTTTCCTACCAGCTTAATACATAGACTCTCTCTGTAAAGCTGAAGGTAGATGCTAGGAAAATGACAATTTTTATGAGCTTTGACATTATCCAAATGCTGATTTGTATTAGTTGAATGGGAATAGTGCATTAATCTGCTTTCAGTTGACCCAAATCCAACCAGTCACCTAAATACATAGGGTTTGAGTTGCTGTGCCCATATGGTTAAGTTATCAGGTCGACCTAAAATTCTGATGGGTCGATTCATGGATTTTCTAACTTAATATCCTATGGCTCCTTCCAACACCTTTTTTTTTTTCCCTCTATCAAATAGGATCATCTTTTTTTTTTTTATAAATTATTTAGCCATTAAGACTAAAAAACTTCTATTAGGGTGCTTGTCTAAAATTATAGTGATTGTGTTGGACAGTACATTGCTCTCCAGACACCATTGCGAGCTGAAGAAGTAGAAATATTAATGGTAAAAGGACAATACCATACTGATGACAACCGCACCAACCCAATTCCTTTGACCTCAGAGGACGCACTACAAAATTTGGAAGGTCAAGACACTTTGGCTGGGCTTAAGGTCAAGTGCAGCTCCGGAAGAAATCACTTGGTGAGTACATTTCTTGGCATTTGACACCAATGTTTCATGTAAAACCATTTGTGTATAAATTAAAATCTGAATATCATTTTGTTTCATAATTGTTTCAGATTAGAGCATATCGGCAGAGGCAAACTGGCTAGCAACTAGTTAAAAAACACGAGCATCTTTCCGCCTGCTTTGATTATGTGGAAGATCCGAAAGTAGGAAAAAAAGGTGTACATTTTTTTTTTACTTTTTTTTTTTGCTTTTTAACACTGAGATTCTAAAAAAGTACACTACAATGAGTTTGTTTCACAGGGGTTCAAAAGTTCTTGAACAAACTTAAAATCACCTCATAAGAGTGGCGGGACTGGAAGTTGCAGCAGTGAGCGAACAGATCATTTTCCCCCTTTCCTTTCTTTGAAGAACACGTAGATGTGGTGATTTGGATTTTGTTGTTTCCCTGGAAGACCTAGGGCAATATCATGCACAATTATATTGAGGATACTGGCCAAAAAGAGAATGAGGATGGTGGACAATGCCAAGATACTATTTTTCTTACTTTTGTGGACAAAAAGGATGGTCAAACTTGGGAAGAGGCCTAGCATGGGGAACCATTGTCCTTCTCAATTGCTTCAATGCTTTCTCTTCCTCTCTCTGCCAAATAAAGTTTACTTCAATTCCCACGACATGCTGGCCAACAACAAAATTGCCAACACACGCAGAGTTTAGGACATAGAATATGTGCATACCATTCTAGCAGCCTCACTCTCCTCTCTGTATCTCTTGTACATCATTTCTTTCTCTTTAATCTGTGCAAAAGATTCATTAACAAATATAATAATGCTTATCGAGTGGAAAATATAAACTTCACAAGATAAGAGAAACTAGAATTTACTTTTTGATCGAATTCTGCTCTATACACCGCTCTATGATCAACATGTAGATTGAATTCTTGTACTTTAGTCAGAGGCTTGCGAACTTTCTCTGGAACAGGAATTGGGCCCCTGCATGAAAAGGAAAGATTCAATATATTTCTTTCTAACTCTATGCAAATACAAATCGCGAATTGTGGATGAATCTTACTCTTTTAGAATTGGCTGGGCCTTGAAGATCCTCATCTCAGCCTCTTCTTTCTCTTTTTGCCGTCTTTCTTCCATCTCTCTTTGCATCTCCTCCTCATGCCTCACCAGACTCTCCAATTGGAAGGGTTCTGGTTTTGTACATTGCTTGGATTCCGGTTTTGGAGGAATCTGCATAACAATAATCACCATTAACCCGCATTCAGTATAGCTACGTCTAAGAAAAACATTAAAATGAAAGGAAATTAAACTTAGCATACCACAGGGTAGTCAGTGGTGTAAGGATATGGGTTAGCCTTGGGAACCCTGGCTCTTTCCTCTTCTAACTGCTTCTCTATAATTTCCATCACAAACTTCCTTTCTTTCACAGATCCTCTTTCCTAAAAGTCAGAACATTTGGGATTAATACAAATATACCTCTGTTCTGGTATGTTATACAATTCATGAACAGAATGAGAAAATAAATATACCTCTGCTTGGAGATGGAATGGAATGGGAATGGTGTTTCTTGGAGTTGGGTCATGGCTAGGTACTGACTTCAGAGAAAGCTGTAAAAGATGACAAACATGTAATTAGTAGTAGTAGAAGGTATAACTATCATACGTGCTATTTTTCATTTTACATTCTCAGATCGGTAGTAGAATAGGTTCATTTGTATACTTGCCTTGTCAAATAAATCAACAACGGCAGCTGCTGGTGGGATCCTCTCATTTGTTGCAAAATGGAATTCTTGAGGTATAGTTACTTGTTTCTTTGCATTACAGAAGATTCCCAATTCTCCTTTGCTCTCAAATATCTACACAAGGCAAAAAACTAGGGTTACCTTCTCAAGTAAACATTGTTGCTATGTACCAAGCAGAATTGAAATGATGGAGAGAGTACCTTTTTATACAATGGCCTTGCCTTAAATTTAGGTGCTTTTTCAAGTTCCTCCTGCTCAAGGTCAATAGAACTTTTGACTTTTGAAGGCCGTGCCCTCAGTGATGTTTGAAGTACAGGGGTTTTAGGTTCTGTGAGATGAGGTTTCCACTGATTATTCTGGTACAGGAAAAAAGTAAACCAAAAAGGAAGGAAAAGAGAGAGTAAGCAAGCTGTTTCCCAAAGAAAATGAATCAAATACATAGGATATAGTTCTCCAGACCTGACGAGATACTTCTGTTGAAGCTACTGAAGATGTCTCCGCATTCTTATTAGCTCTAGCCATTGTCTCAAAATGAAATTCCTGAAACAGAATAAATTTTTTAGTCCGATAGCAAGGATTCTCTTCATTTTCATCTCGTAACACCCCACCACCTATATAATTTATATCCTTATAGCTTAATTTACCTGAAATTCTGGAAGCTTTGGAGTACTTCTTGGTAATGCAGGTAGTGCTGGAGCTTCAAAAATCTGCACCAGAGAAGAAAATAGAAAAACAAAAACTTATTCGAAAAATTTTACACAGTAAACAATAATGAAAGATCAATTTGCCTGATACACATAAACAGGATAAAAGCTGGAAATCATAGATGGTATAAGCAGCCACCTTCTTGTTCAATGTTCTTGCTTTGAACTTTGGAACTTTAGCCATCATTTCTTCCTCAAGCTCTGAGGTGCTCTTCACTCTAACTGAGCGCACTCTCTGTGCTGTTTCAAATTCAGGTTCTTTAGGGCTTGTCAATTTGAGTGTAGGCTTCATCTAGACATATGTAGCATCATCCTGATTAATTTGAAGGAATTTTGGGAAAGAAGAACGGAAACAAGGAAGTGCAAGAAATTAAGAAACCAAATTCATGTTGGAGCCTAAATGATGTGATTCTATTTATTTACATTTGACAGAGAACTGCTAGGAAGTGACAAATCCCTGGTACTTGATTGGAACTTTTTTATCATTTCTGCCATTGAAACAAATGGTGCTGCTGGTTCTCGAACATAAACCTTCAAGGGAAACAAAACAATTTTTAATATTAATTTGCATTTGTTAGTAAAAATATGCAATGAAGGAGCTTAGCACAGAGAAACAAACCTTCCTTTCCAATTTGTTAAAAGTTTTAGCAGTAGAAGAGCACAAGTTGGAACTACCACTGGTAAGACCAAGTTTTGACTTGTGGGGCAAGTTGTGGGGTTTTATGTTTAAGATCTGAGTATAGAAGGAAGAAAGAACAAGACGAAAATTCAGGTAGAAGTTTTAAAATAACAGTGAACATGCAAAAGGCAAGAGTGTATAGGAACCTGTCTAGATCTCCCTCCGTCTAGTTTCTGACGTTTAATGGCTTGGTTTTCTAGAGACAAATTAGGTGTTCCAGCACTACCGTTCTTCGTCTTCAACATTGATGGATTCTGTAACAAACTAGCTATCTTTTTAGCTGTCTGATTCTTCTTGTCACTCACCAGTTTTTTTGAAGAATTCATCAATAGTTTAGAGGTGCAGCAAGCTTCAGTTTCTACTTGCACAGAAGATTTGCTTTTCTCTTTATCACCAGTTACATTTGAACGCGCCCTTTGAGTCAGGTCACTATCGAACAGAAATGAACCAAAAGACACAACATGAGAACCAAAGTATGAACATAATAGAACTCAAGTAGTGTTGACAAAATTTTCAAAACCCAAAGAACAAACCTTCCATTATCTTGAGCACTTACAGTCGCTGCTTTTTCCGTATCTTTATCATCATTAGCAACCTGCAACAAGTTAAAATCATGAGAAAACAGAAAGAATTAATCTGTAACAAGAATGGATAAAAATCCATTAATTACCTCAGTGACAATTTGATTGATTTCAACCTTTGCCTCGGAGGGTTTAACTTCTTCATTTACTTTATCTGGCACGAGCTCAGCTTGAGGCTTATCTTCTAAGTTGCAGTTAGGAGTTGTTGCATCTGATGATTCAGATGCCTGCGCAATAATATATTCATCATGATCAATATGAATGAGAGAAACTACTTATAAGATATTGAAAATTAGTAGAAAGTAATTCCCACCTTCTGCATTTGATCTGCTTCACTAAAATTGCAGAGACTCTCTACATGGAAGGATCTATTACCAGCCCTGATTCTAACTATAAAAGCTGCATTATCAAAAAAACCAAAAGGAAATGAGAATCTCCAGTTTTCTCCTTGATAAAAAATTCAACAGTTTTGCTTTATAGCAGATAATATATAGGAACAGAATGTAACTTGATTAAATTACACTTCAAATCCTTGAAAACTGACCTAATTCAAGTAAATATTTTGAGAAGAGCAAAAATAATTAGGTTATGCTTAATTCATACTCTCTCTATCTCATAAATAATGCCTTAAACTTTGACTTCATTTTATTTTAAATATATTGTTAATTAAAATATAAAAAAATACTTTTAAAAAATTTTGAATGAGGAAATTTTCACATATAATTTTAAAAAATAATTTAATAAAATATTTGAAAATATCAATGGTGGAAATTGATAAAATTTCAGGTAAAGGGTAAAAAAAATCCTCCAATAAAAATTCAATAATCATTTAAGCTCCTAAAATTTTATTACAATAAATCAAACCTGAAAATTTTTTTATTTCCGATCAGTTAAATCCTTAAACATCTATTTTCACTCCAATTAAGTCATCAATTGAGAAAATTAGTGTTGATGATTAATCAATTTTCACCTAATAAAAACTCAATTGGTAAAAATAAATATTTAAGGGTATAGTTAATTATAATAAAACAATATTATTGAATTTTTGGTCAATGGTTTTTTTTACCTTTTAACCAAAGTTAAAAACCAGATAAAAAAGGACATCAAACATTTGGAGGGATTATCGCTTTTCTTTTCTTTTTCCAATCATATATCTAAGTATTCCTGGATCAAACCATCGATCAATTGTGACCTATCGATTGGATGCTGAGAAAATGGGGGAAGATTGGGAAGAAACGTGGAGATACCATACTCTAATTATAAGATAAAAGTTTTCTCCTTTTCCCCTTAATCTTATGCAACTAGGACAACCTAAAACCTTAGAATTTTGGAACACGATTCGGTAATAAACAATTAAAATCAATCATGTTAGAAACGGAAACCATAAATTAGTAATCAAAACGCTTAAAAGAAACCCTAAAATTCCAAGAAAATCAACCAAAACGATTCAGTTACAGAGAAAAGAATGATTCAAAGAATATAATCTTTAAAGCATGAAGATTAGTTAATTCCGGTACTTTTACGGTTAAAAAATAGAAAGAAAAAAAAAGAAATGTGAAGGAATACAGAGAAAGACACATACGAGAAGGGGCGTAGCTTAAAGCCGTTTCCAACCAAAGCTCGGCATTGCGCGTATCTTCTTCCGACTCTCCTTTCATGAAATCGAAGAAACGCGGCGCTAAAAACTCGTATAACTCGTCGATCATGGTTTCCGTTGGCTCACTTGATTCCTCCATCAGATGCGAAACAGAGAGATATACTTTTTCTTTTTTTTTTTTTGGGGGGGGGGGGTGGAGAGGATGGGGGATCGGTAAGAGAGAAAGCAATTATGATCTGGATTTTCGGTTTAGAATTTTAGAACATCTGTTTTAGTGGCAAATGAAGCAGGGAGGAGGGGAAGCGCAACGGTCCATTTTTTTTTTTGCTTTTTTCGAATTTTAGGGAAGGTGTTCTAACGGTCAAGTTTGCGACAATCTGGTGCCTAAGATGAGGTGTTTTTCTAACGGCTACTCCCCACGCTCTCTAGACCCCAAAGCCTACCGTTTACCGTTAAGAGGGTTCTTTTTGGAGAATTAATTGCATGTGCATTTCCTTCCTAAATGTACCTTTTACTTATATCAAATATTAATTGAAATAATTCTTTTTTTATAAGAAAATATTTTCATTAATCTATAATAACATCACTTAGAATTGGATAAAGATTTCTCCTAGACTAATGATCACCAGAACGACATGAACAAAATCACATTAGGCTTTTAAAAAATAATTTTCACACTTTTAAGTATTTACTTAATAAAAAATTGATTGGTCAATGAAAAATAATTTATTGGTTAACAAAAAATAAGATAATTTTTTAAAAATTATCTTACAAATTTGAAAAAAAGAAGATATTTTTTAAAAAAAGCTATCTATGGATAGAACTGTTAATGATATTTTAGTAATATTTTGGTAATATTCTAGATTGATGAATTATTCTAATAATATTACAGTAATATTCTAGATTGATTTGACATTAATTTGTAGAATATTAGATATTGATTTAGTTAATTATAAGAATTGATTTAGTTATTATTTCTATTGATTGTATTTTTTATTTTGTAATATTTTATCTCTATATAAACAGGTTTTAAGCTTCATTGTAATATACAACTTATTGCAATAAAGTTTTCATTATTTGCTCCTTTTTCATGGTATCAGAGCGATTTTATAGTTTATTCCAAATGTAAATCACCTTGAAATAACCAATATTTGTTTATTTTCATCCTTGGTTTTATTATTTTTTCTAAACTTTATTTTTTGCTTTCGCATTTCAATTTTTTGGGTTTCTCTTTCCATCTTCAAGATTCATATTTTATATCAATACTCATAACTTTCAAAATCTCTAATTTTTTAAGAGCTTAATGGCAGGAATTTAACAAGGAAATGTAAAATCAATTTTCATTATTCTTGATGGAAATAACTATAATAGATGGGCTATGGCTATGTGTAGTTATCTAAAGGGAATGAAATTATGGCTTATTGTTACTAGAGAATGCAAAGCACTAGAAAAAAAAAAAAAATTCAGTGATAAATTTACAGATTGGTTAAAAAAATGGGAAAGTAAAAATCATCAAATTTTGATATAGTTCACCAACACTATTGTTTCTTCTATCAATGTACATTTGGGCGATTTGAACTTGCTAAAGATGCTTAGGATTTTTTTGCCACACGATACAGCTCTACTACCTTTACTCATCGATATAATATTTTGACCACTTTATCTTGCTTTTGTCAAAAATCAGGTCAATTAATTAATGATTTTCATTCTAAAATGCAACATTTATGGGACATGCTTGAAAATTTTGAGCCAAAATTCAAAGATGAAAGTGATGTTGGTAATTTTATTACTTATCGATATCAAATTCTTTTTATTCAATTTCTAATGGCACTTCGAGATGAATTTGAGAATACTAGGTTTTCACTTTTCTGTCAACATCCCTTACCAACTATGGATAATGCTCTTATGGAATTGATATTTGAGGAAACTCTGTTGGATATAAGTTGGACTCATAGTATTGATACTATTGTTATTGTTACTTCTTAGAAAATATTAGCTCTACTTTCCATAAGTTTTGTTCATGATATGAGGGACTAATCATTCCATTCAAAAATGTAGAGCTAAATATCATTATAACGGTAGTCTAATTCATGATCCTTGCACTAACAAGATTGTTACGATAACAATCACTGAACCAAACACTTTTGAGTCTTCTTTTAAGGCCATTATAATATTCACCACTGATCTTCAAACTTTGTTTAATCAAGTATTATTTTCCATCTCATGTTCTTGCCATGTTTGTTGCCACATCAGATAATGTTTGATTGTTTGATACTACTTATTAAAATTATATGACTGCTGACCCTTCTTTGTTCAAAAGCAAGATACTTATACCTAATGGTCCAATCATTAAAACAACAAATGGATTTATCTGAAAAGCTAGCCATATTGGTAATATTGAAACCTCAAAATTATGTATATTTGATACTTACCTTGTTCCTAATCTTGCCTTAAATTTACTTTTTATTGGCCAACTTTGTGGCTTTGGTCTTGATTTGCAAATTTCACAATGAATATGGTTGTATTGTGCAGGATTCTTAAATAGGTCAGAAAGTTGGGATAGGGCGTAAGGTTGGAACATTGTTTGAGTTTGAAACTTTGAAAATTTCACAATAATTGCCCATTGTTGCTACACCAACTCTTCAGTTTCTTTAGATTTATGACATTTTAGGCTAGGACATGCATCTATTTCTTGAATAAAGTCACTTGCTTTCACTGATGTCTTAGGTAATGTTTATCATGATATTTTTTATTATTTGTCTAGTCAACTTGGATATCAAAGTGCTTTACCTTCTAATAAAAGTGATTCTATCTCATCTACTCCTTTTGATTTAGTCTATTTTGATATTTGGGGTCCTACTTCCACACCAACCTTAGGAGATTCACGTTACTTTGTTATATTTATTGATGACTTCTTTCATTATACTTGGATATATTTATTCAAACAAAGAACTGAACTTTTATCCTTTTTTTATGAATTCAATAACATAATACAAACTTAATTTTATAAAAATAAAAATTTCAAGTCTGACAATGCTGTTGAATATACAAAAATTGAGTTTCATAACTTGTTAAAGGATGATGAAACTCTTCCTTATAGGTATTGCCCATATACTTTACAACAAAATGGTTGAGCAAAAAAAAAAAAATATCGTCATATTCTTAATACAGTTTATGCTTTTCTCATTTTCTCTTCCCTTCTTGAACATTTTTAGGGTGAAGCTACTCTACTATTATTTACACTATTAATAGTGTTCTCACACCAGTATTAGGCATACGGTCTCCCTATGAGTGTCTATATAATAAAGTACCTTATTATCATTCTTTCAAAGTTTTTGGATATGCTTGCTTTGTTCCACTTCCTACTCATGAAAGGACTAAACTTGAACCTAGAGCTAGATTGTATTATTTTTTGGGTTATGGTATAGAACACAAAGGGTATAGGTGCTATGATCCAGTGTCTAAATGTCTTTGCATCTCAAGACATATAGTTTTTTAGGAACATAAAAGTTAATTGGTGTGTTCTCATTACATTCACTATGTTTTTCTCCATGTATTTTTATAGATTCATCTTTTGATTTTTCTTCAAATGAAGAGACTATTATAAGTACTTTTAATTCAAACAGTGATCTGTCTTTTTCCACTCTTACTATGTTTGATCTGATTGAGGCTGTTATTGATACAGTTATCCCTTTCTCATACATATTGCTTCACTTTGTCGTTCCATCCGGGTAAGGAACCCAACACTCAACTTCATGATTTTCACTGTTATTATGTTTTAGCCACGTTACATGAACCTTACAATTTTTGTGAAGCTATTTCTAATCTTATATGGCAGCAAGCAACGGCAAAGGAGCTTCAAGCTTTTGAAAAAACTTATACTTGAGATATCGTGAAATGACCTTCTGATAAGTCAAGAATTGATTATAAGTGGGTCACAAGATCAAGATTAGATCTAATGGGTCAGTGGAACATTTGTTGCTTTAAGGATTTACACAAGAATATGGCATTGACTGTGAAGAGACTTTTTCCCCAGTTGGATGTCTCACATCTATTCGTTCATTATTAGCTATTACTGTAGCTAAAAAGTGGCCAACCTTTTAATTGGATGTTAAAAATACCTTCTTGAATGGTGATTTTACTTAGGAAGTCTATATGAAACCACATCATGGTTTATCTGTACTTTCAACATGGTCTGTTGTCTTCAACGTGCTCTATATGGTTTTAAGCAAGTCCTTAGAGCTTGGTTCTCGAAGTTTAGTACCACTGTTGCATAACTTGATTTTACATCTAGTAATCATGATTTTACCAATTTTACTCGAACTACTAAAAATGGTACTACTCTTCGCTTACTTTATGTGGATAACCTGATCATTACGGGTAATGACGTAAATGGTATTCAAGATTTAAAGACTTTTCTTCATTCTAAGTTTGAGATGAAAAATCTTGGTTTTTAAGTTATTTTTTAAGCCTTGAAGTCATCAGTGATTCTACCAGTTTACATTTGTCTCAAACAAAGTATGCTTCTGATCTTATTGCTCAAACATGTTTAACTGGTAGCAAGATTGCATCATCAACACTTGAACAGAACTTGAAACTTTCTCTTTCTGATGGTACACCACTTTTAGACCTTTCTTTGTATCGAACTCTGGTAAGTAGTCTCATATACTTGATAGTTACTCGTCCAGACATTGCTTATGTGTTTATCTGGTTAGTCAATTTTTATCTGCTCTTCGATCTACTAATTTTGTTGTAGGTCATTTGGATCCTATGATATGTCAAGGGTACTATGTTCCATGGTTTGCATTTTTCCTCTAGTTCCTCACTGGACTTTTATTGTTATTGTGATGCTGATTAGGCAGGAGATCCTAATGATCATCGTTCTACCACAGGCTACTGTTTCTTTCTTGGTTCTTCTCTTATTTCTTGGCAAAGTAAAAAACAAACTATGGTATCTTACTCTAGCACTGAAGTTTTATAGATGCCACATCAAAATTTTTATAATTAAAATGGCTACTTTAGGATTGGGTGTTTCTCATCACTATCAAAGTGTCATTCAAATAGCTCACAATGATGTTTTTCATGAAAGTACTAAACATATTAAAATTGACTATCACTTTATTTATCACCATATACTTACTCAAACTCTTTGACTTGTTCT